CTTGCACTGGCAATGCGGGGTTGCACTGCCGGCTTGCTGTGCCAGGTTTCAGCACCTCTCCACTGGCCTGCTGCAGCCAGGGTGGCTGGGCCTCACTGCTAGCTTGCCTGGAATTAGGAGGACCTGAGTTCAAAGCTGACCTCAGACACATAACACTTACTAGCTGTGTGACTCTGGGCAAGTCACTTAATCCCAACTACCTCATCCTCCCCCCAAAAAAAATCAGACACAATAGAGAAACACCTGGGCAGCTAGGTGGCACAGTGGATACAGCACCAGCCCTGCAGACAGGAGGACCGGAGTTCAAATCTGACTTCAGAACAGACACTTGACACTTACTATCTGTGTGACCCTGGGCAAGCCACTTTTTGCCTCCAGTTGCCTAAAATAAATAAACAAATGTTTAAAAAAAAAGGGAGCAATGCAAAGCACTAGAAGAAAACAATAGAATGAGAAAGACAAGAGCTCTCTTCAAGATAAGCAGAGGTATCAAGAAAACATTTCATGCAAAAATGAACATGATGAAAGACAAAAATGGTAGGGACTTAAAAGAAGCAGAAGAGATTAAGAAGAGGTGGCAGGAATATACAGAAGAACTATACAAGAAAGATCTTAACACCATGGATAACCACTATGGTGTGGTTATTGATCTAGAGCCAAACATCCTGCAGGATGAAGTCAAATGGGCCTTAGAAAGAATTGCTAACATAAGGCTAATGCAGGTGATGGAATTCCAGCTGAGCTACTTAAACCCCTAAAAGATGGTACTGTTAAAGTACTGCATTCAATATGCCAGCAAATTTGGAAAATGCAACAGTGGCCACTGGGTTGAAAAAGATCAGTTTATGTCCCAATCCTAAAGAAGGGTAATGACCCTTTGACCCAGCAATAGCACTTCTAGGGCTGTATCCCAAAGAGATCACACAAATGGGAAAAGGACCCACATGTACAAAAATATTCGTAGCAGCTCTTTTTATGGTGTCAAAGAATTGGAAATTGAGATGATGCCCATCCATTGGGGAATGGCTGAGCAAGCTGTGGTATATGAATGTCATGGAATGCTATTGTGCTATAAGAAATGATGAACAGGCTGACTTCGGAAAGACTTGTACAGTCTGATGCTGAGTGAAGTGAGCAGAACCAAGAGAATGTTGTACACAATAACAGCCACATTGTGCAATGACTAATATTGATAAACTGAACCCTTCCCAGTTAGATCCCAAGGATCTAAGACATCTCCAAAGGCCTCGTGATGGAAAATGCTCTCCACATCCAAAGAAAGAACTATGGAGTTTGAATGTGGATCGAAGCACGCTATTTGCTATATTTTTTACCTTCTGTTGAGTTTTGTTTCCTCTTTCTGATGGTTCCTCCTATTGGTTTTAATTTTTACTTACAACATCACTAATGTGAAAATATGTTTAATAGGAATGTAAATGTATAGCCTATATGAGATTGTGTGCCATCTTGGGGAGGGTGGGGAGGAGGAAGGGGGAGAAAAATTTTAAACTCAAAAGCATATGGAAGTGATTGTTGATAAATCAAAATAAAGTAATAAAATAAAAGAAGGGCAATGGCAAAGTATGTTCAAATTACCAAACAATTGTGCTCATCTCATACACTAGCCAAGGTGATGCTTAGAATTCTGAAAGCCTGGCTTAAGCAATCTATGAACCAAGAATTACCAGAAGAGCAGGCTGGTTCTCAAAGAGGCAAAGGAACCAGGGATCACATTGTCAACATTCATTGGATTCTGGAAAACATCGACTTCTGCTTCACTGACTACACAAAAGCCTTTGATCGTGTGGATCACAACAAAATGTGGCAAGTCCTCAAAGCGATGGGAGGACCAGACCATCTTCCTTGGCTCCTGAGGAACCTGCAGGCCAAGAAGCAGCAGTAAGAACTGACCATGGAACAAATGAGTGGTTTAAGATTGGAAAAGGACCAGCGTGAAACTGAACACTGAAAAGTCACAGCAGAGTACAAGAAGTAACAAAACAAATACATGCCAAGGACCATGTCTTTAGGAGACCGTTTCTACTAGAAACACGTCGGGAACTTAGAGACTTCTTGCATTTTTATGTCAGCTGCAAGAAACAGACGAAGGAGAAATTTCTTCTTTCTTGAGATCACAACTATGAAGTCATGTGGTTATCGGCATCAGTGTGCAAAAAAACCAAACCCCAACCCCAAGACAACATGAGAAACAGCTACCTTATTATTTCCACTTGCTTGCTTGGCCAGCCAGCAGGACTAAACAGACACCTTCCAAACAGAGACTGAGATACGGTTTAGCCCAGGTATTCAAGATGCAGTCTCCTTTTGCTAAGGTCCAAGACAACAAGTCTTTGTGGCAGAGGGAGGAAGAAATGGCGCAAGCCACAAGTGGCAATCTTTTCTTGTAATACTCATTCTCATGGGGTCTCCCTTCATGCTCTACAACACAGCGGTCTAACGAGCTCAAAAGCCTCAGCCTTTGAAGTCTGCTCAAAATTTTAATCATAACCATGCGGTTACCTGTAGTAGATGAGCAGAGAGAGTTCCCCTTGAGAGTCTCTTGGGCAGCAAGGAGGTCAAATCAGTCAATACTTAAAAAAGTTAATTCAGGCTATTCACTGGAAGGGCAAATATTGAAGCAGAAGCTTAAATCCTTTGGCCACATAATGAGAAGATGGGACTCCTTGGAAAAGACCCTGATGTTGGGGAAGATTGAAGGAAAAAGGAGAAAGGGCTGGCAGAGGATGAGAAGGATGGACGGATGGTGTCGTGGAAACAGTGAACATGAGCTTGGGCAGACTTTGGGAGACAGTGGAGGATAGAAGGGCCTGGCATGCTGGGGTCCATGGAGTCGTGAAGAATCAGACAGCTGAATGACTGAACAATGATAACATTAGGAGACCTGAATTACCAAAAAAAAAACCCCAAATGTACTCAATTACTTTTATTACTGTTTTGAATTTTATCAATATAAAATTTGTGGAAATTTGTTTTCTCTCTTGTTATATAAGTACCTATATAATATCTTTGATTTTTCCTCTTGGCCTGAAAAGCCTAAAATGTACCACCCAGCCCTTTACAGGCAAAGGCTGCCAACCCCTGCAGTAGCCTGCTTCTTGGTCTGCCTGCTACATGTCCCTTCCCCTTGGTCAAAAGGATCTTCCAGCCCAGGTCTAACCACTCACCCCTACCCCACTAAATTCCTGTGGCTCCCTATGGCCTTCAGGATCTAAGAGAAAATCCTCTGAAATTCAAAGCTCCTCTTCGTTCTCCCATCTTAAACTCTGTCCCCACATCCCCAGCTTACTCTGCTCTCCAGGGTTGCTGGCCACTTCTGGCTCAGAGCATTTGCACTGACTAGCCCCTAGTCCTTGGATGTTCTGCATTCTCTCGTTCTCTCTCTCTCGTTCTCTCTCTCTCTCTCTCTCTCTCTCCCTCTCCTTCTCCTTCTCCTCCTCCTCTCTCTCTCCCTCCATCTTTTTGTCTCTCTCATTTCCAGCATCCTCCAGGCCCAGCCAAAGGCTCCCTTTCTAGAAGATGCCTCTCCAAGGCCTCTCCAAGCTTAGTGTCTTTCCTTCTGGAGCCTTTTCTTCACTTTATACTTTTTTTTGGGGGGGGGTGAGGCAATTGGAGTTAAGTGACTTGCCCAGAGTCACACAGCTAGTAAGTGTTATGTGTCTGAGGTCCTATTTGAACTCATGTCCTCCTGACTCCAGGACCAGCAACGGTGCCACCTAGCTGCCCCTATTTACTTTATTTTTTCTCATTTTTGTCTCCCCCATGGATTGTGAGTGCTTTAAGATCAGGGCCTTTCTGTGCCTTTCTTTGCACCCCCAGAGCTTAGGCATCTGGCACACAGTAGACTCTTACTAAATGTGTACTGACTGACTAACTGAAATCCCATTTTCTACAAGAAGCCTTTCCTAACCCTTCAGACCCTGCCTTTCCTGTGTTGATTAGCTCCAACTGACCCTGTTGTCCGCCTCAAGCTTCTATCTAGCGGTTTGCACTTTGTTAGCTCTGGAGGGTGGGCAGGGCCTTTTACTTATAGCCCCTACACTTAGGGGGTTAATCTTAATAAAGATTAGCTGATTGACTGACAGCTGTAGAGGGGAGAAGCCTTTCAAACTTGTATTTAGAACTGGGTCAGAAAGGGGTGGGGTGAGGGGGCAGAAGGGGAGGCTGGACCTAGGGCACCACCCGGAGACAAAGTAGCTGCTCCTCTTTTCAGCTTTGTAGAAGGCCGAGGCTATTGTGCCCCAGAGAGAGCCTGGCCTTGAGGCCCGAAGGTCTGGGTGCACCTGGGTTCTGGGGGAGCTGGGGGAACCCCTCCAGAAGGAGGTCTCTGAGCAGCTTAGGGGTGGGGGGAGAGGTCCTTCCCAGCCTCCGAGTGTCAGTTTCAGGTAGCGTCCCTTAGAGCCGCCAGCCCAGGCTCGCTTTAGTGGTCCGGACCGGGTTCGCTTGGGGGCAGGGCAGACAGTACAAAAGTCAACAGCCGAGGGCAGCACTCGGTCCCGCCGGTCCTTGGTTTGTCCGGCTGAGCTGTGGTCCTGAGCCAAGGCTCCTGCGCACAGTCCGTGTCCGGAGTCTGGGCACGGGCTGGCCCACACTGGCGGAGGGCCTGCGTGCATATATTAGGTGCTCAGTAAATACACTAGGAATGCGGGTGGGAGAACTGGATAGGAAGGAATGGAAAGCTCCCTGCTAGGAGTCCATGCCCCCATCCGACGGTACCCTGACTTGCCCCGGCCGACACCTCTCGGCTCTCTGCCCCAGAGCAAGCCAAGACTCAGGGCGCCCAGGCCGGAGGGATGGCCGCCAGGTGAGGCTGCCGCGGCCCAGCCTCGGAAGCACGGGGGAGGAGGGGCTGGGCCCAAGCTCGGGGGGGGGGGGGGCGGACCCTGTCAGGGGAGGGGGCGGGCAGGGGAGTGGCCCGGGAGGGCAGGGAGGTAGGCCGGGCGGCCGCTGCGGCGCCAGAAGCTCCGAGGGCAGTTAAGACTCCGCCTTGGGTTTATTAGGAGCGCTAGGAGGCGAGCCAGCCCCGCCGAGGCGCCCAGACAAGCGAGCGAGCCCCCGGCCCTGCCAGCCCAGCCGCACCCCGCCTCGTCTTGGTCATCTCCTTCCTGGCCAAGGGGTGCAGCAGCCGGAGCCCGCCCAGCGAAGCGGCCAGAGCAGCCCCAGCCCAGCTCGGGCACCCAGCAGCGGCGCCCCATCCCGCCACAGCCCAGCGGAGGCAGCGGCACCAGCAGCGGCAGCGGCAGCGGCGGCCCCGCTCAGTCCTGAGCCCAGTCCGGAGCCCGGCGGCGGCAGCAGCACCAGCATCATGCCCGGCGTGGCGGTGGCGCTGCTGGGGCTGTGCGCCCTGGCGCTCTGTGGGCAGCCGGCTCTCTCGGTGAGTGTGTGTGAGTGTATGTGTGCGCGTGCCCCGGGACACGTGGGCCCCCCCTTTCTCTGCTCCCCCCACCCCCGGTCGGCCGGGGCTTTTCCGGCCGCTGCCTGGCTTGCCTCCGCCCCCGACCCCCCATTCAATTATTTTAAACGGCCGCACATGTGCGCCCCTCCGCCGCTGTTGGGATGGGGACAGCCCGGGCCCCCGTGGGCACCTCAGCCGCGGGGCCCCTCCCGCCCTCATCCCGCTTCCCTCATCCCGCTTCCCTCACCCCCGCCCCTTCCCTGCGCCGGCCCTAATTCAAACCAGATCCCGGCTTGGAGCTCGCCTCCTCCAGAGCAGATCGGATTCCTTGCGCGCCAGTACCACCCCCCCCCACACACCGTCCAGTCCCCGGCCGTCCTTTCCCTTTGCTTCCTGCAGCAGGAAGTTTTCCAGGAGGCGGCCCGCGGGCCCCCTCCTTGCCTCTGGGACCCCCCTCCCCCACTGTGGCTGGGGGGCGCTTGGTAGGGTGGTCACCCTTGAGGGAGAGGACCGATGGGGGTAGGGGGTGGGGGGAGGGGGGTGGAGCACCCCCAAGGCCTTAACTTTGTCCCATAGAGTGAAAGAGCCGGCTCTTGGCATGGGGGTGCAGCTTTGCTCGTCTCCCTCTGGGCCCAGTTTGCACGGTGACCCCCTCCCATGCACTGAAGCACCAGGCTTTGAGGCAGGACCAGGCACTAGGGGCGCCCCCGCGCCCCCCCCCCCCCATTGCCAGGGAGAGCCGAGGAGGAGGAGGAGGGCCTTTCTCTGTAAGCTGCCGGGTGAGCTTTGGGATCCCCAGCTCCATTCCGGGTACCTTCGGGTCGTTTCTGCCGTCAGCCGCTTTCCATCTGGATCTCCCAGCGTGACTGCTGTCTCCCTGGCTTTGCTCCCCCAAAAGCTAAAAACTTCTCAACTGGGCTTTCAGAGAACTGAGTTCTGAGCTGCCTCTTCAGCGGTTGGAGATCTCTGGGTGGAGGGCTCCCCTGGCTTTGTTCTTCTAACAACGAAAAGCAAAACAAATTCCTCTCCCCACCTCCAACCAGTCCATCAGGCCCCGGGGCCAGGATGGGGGCCCTTTGGAATCCCCTGAGCAGGACCTGCAAGCATGGCCGCCAGGTGGACCCATTGGGCATAGAGCAAATCAGGAACCTTCTCTCCCTGCCACACACAACTGGAGTCAGGCCTCCCCCAGGTTCTAGCATGAGAACTAGAAGAACCCAGTTTGACCCCTCCTCTTGCTATGGGAGGAACTGAGGCCCATCGAGTTTTGAAAAGGGGCCTTAAAGACAACTCCTCTTCCAAAGAGGGGAAACTGAGGCCTAGAGGGGCCCCACAGGAAGAGAAGTGGGTGTCAGGTGGGCAGCAGGTTTCCCAGAAGGGTCTCCAGCTTTCTCTGTAGGCTAGGTGCCCAGGGTGTCACACCATCCAAATTAAGGGTCTCTAACTACTTCTCCCTGACTCAGCTGGCCTAGTAAGCAGGAAGGGAAAATATGAGCCCCAGCCTTTGCTAGATGCTGCTCACCTTGCAGATGGCAGAGAGAAGACATGCTGGCACCTCAGGGGGCAGGTGTATGTGTATATCAGGGTGGGGAATGAGGAGGGGGATTGTCAGTGAGCAGCCTGGTGCAGAGGCCCCCCCACACCTGAAGGCCACTTTTCTGGGTGACCTTTGCCAAGTCTGCTCCATGAGGGCTTGGTGTCCTGTGGCCCCTCCAGCCCTACATACTCCATATCTGTTTCAGCTTCTAGGAGTTCACTGTGGTGGAGGCTTAGCTGATCTTGGAGCAGGAGTAAGATTTTAATAATCTCTGCCAACAGGGAGAAAGTGTCTGGGTTCCCTTCCAGCCCTTGGAGCTCGGCTGGGGGCCAGTTTGTCTAAGCTGGCCCAGGCTGCTGGCTACAGCGAATGGCCTGGCTTGCCCTGCCCTGCCCTGCCTTCGTGTAGTGACTGATGCCTTCTCTGAGCCTCTCCCCACCTGGGGCTTCCTCAGTGCCATGTGTCACCCTAGTTGGGCACCTGGGTCCTCTTGGCACCTCTGTCTGTCTTGGATGTGGGGCAGACGTAGCACCTTGGCTTGAGGACGACCTGGTTTCATGCCAAACATGGTGTGATGGGTTAGCTTTGAGACCCCCCCCCCGCCTCTCTGTGGTGAATGGCTCTCCCAGCTGGAGGTGGCTGATCTCCTCGAAAACGTGTGTGCATGTATGTGTGTCATGTCAGAGGGAGGTCCATGAGCGTGGTTTTCACGCTGAAGCCAAGTGGCCAGGGAACTTGGGGGTCTGTGAGCAGTGTCCAAGGATGGATTTGAACTCATATCTCTTGGACTCTGAGTCCAACCTTCTGTCTGCAATACCTCACTGCCTCTCAGCAATATGGAAAAAACATTGGTTAGGAGCCAGATGACCAGGGTTCGAATCTTGGCTGGTTCTTGCTCAGACCTGGCCTGAAATGGGAGGTAGTTTCTTCCTCTGGAAAATGTCGGGTTCAGACATGATGGCCTTTTCTAGTTCTTCTCATGCTGGTGCATTGTCTAGGGAGGGAAGGAGGAAGGAAGGAAGAGAAGACCTGGGTGTTATGGCTCTCTGCCGCTTAGGGTTTTTTAAATTTTTTTCCTTTTTGCTGAGGCAATTGGGGTTAAGTGACTTGCCTACGATCACCCAGCTAGTAAGTGTTAAGTGTCTGAATCAGGATTTGCACTCAGGTCCTCCTGACTCCACAACCAGTGCTCTATCCACTGCGCCCCCTAGCTGCCCCCTACTGATTAGGTTTTAAAGAGTAGTTCAGCCACGTCCGGCTCTTCGTGACTCCATTTGGAATTTTCTCAGCAAAGATGCTGAAGTGGTTTGCCATTTCCTTCTGCAGCTCATTTTATAGATGAGGAAACTGAGGCAAACAGAGTGAAGTGACTTGCTTAGGGTCACACAGTGTCTGAAGCAGGATTTGAACTTGAGTCTTTCAGACCCCAACACTTTGGGCAGCCAGGGCTCCTTTCTGTTACCATGGTCAGCGTTTGTCTCCCTCTGCTTAAGGGACGGTACTTCCCAGTCCTAAGTGACTGTGTGGAGGGAGGCGGAGTACTTAGCCCCCTGCCCTGGTACCTGTGGAGCCCCAAAGGTTGGACCTAGGGATGGGAGCCCCGCAGCCAACACAGAGAGGGCCAAGGTTGCTGGTGACTCGGCTCCCCTCCCCTCCCAATGTGCTGGGAACGCTGCCCAGAGCAAGGACTAGGGGCCACTGAATGGTTTCTGGAGCCAGCCCCAAGAGACTCAAGCAGGTTTGTCTGAATAGCTCTCTCTGGGGCCAGGTTTGAGGGCTGCCCGGCCCCCTTTCTGGATTTGCCTTCCTTTCTTCTGGGTACAAACTCTTGCTCTGGAATAACTTTTCCCTTTTCCGGCATAAAAACAGCTCCCTTAATGATAGGGGACTAGTAGAGACATTTCCCTGCGTGGTTGGAGAGGCTCCTGGGGAAGGAGGGGAGGGAGCTGGCTCCCTTGGCCTTCCGCTGCTTTCCAGAGATGATGTCACTCTTGGCTCGGGCTTCTGGTTTTACTGGGAAGCCACACTGGGTTGGCCATTCTCTGGTTGTTACCTGTGGTTGGGGGAGGGGGCGCCACTCTGACTCAGAGGGAGGCTCCCAGATTGAGAGCATGAAGAGCCCATCCGGTCTCACCTCCTCATTTTACAGGTGAGGCAACTGAGTCAGCTTAGAGAGACAGTGACTTGCCGAGAGTCACATAGCTAGGTGGTGAGTGACGGGCAGATTTCGAAGCCAAGTCTTCTGGCTGCCCAGGAAGGAGTCCAGTTTTTAGTTTTAGCCCCAGAATGCTGAGCCTTGGGCCAGGCTTTTCCCTGAATGGGCTGCCAGCATGTGAGACTGTGTAAGGCTCAGACCGGCGATGTTTGCTAGGCACAGAACACCAGGGACTTAGAAAACTAGAGCAAGTTTGTTAGAAATGTATGTAAAATAAGGGTAAAGAGCCTTGAAGTGAGAGCCAACGAGACCCTTGCTATCTTGAAGCCTGATCTTGGGTTGCTTGGGGCCATTTCTTGCCTTGCTCTGACACCCCGGCTCAGCAAAGCAACTCCAGTTAGGCTACCAGGTCAGATGAGATCTAATCTCAAGAGGAGATACGGCTTCCGCTGGCAAGTCTGGGAGGTGTTAGAAGATCCACACTTGGGTAGCCGGAGGGCCAGCGGCTATGGTGAAATCTGGGATTTGGAACTGGAGGGAGGGATCTGCGCCCTCCCCCCCAGCCCAGGGGGAGGGGAGGGCAGGAAAAGGAGCTCCCCAAGGTCCCCAGGATTCAAACCCATGTCCTTGGAACCAATCGAGGGTTTTTTGTTTTTGTTTTCTACCGGGCTCACTCCCTTGAATGTCAGTCACAGAGATACAAAGTAAAAAAAAAAAAAGCGGTAGCTTGCCAGCCCTGGGGTGGTTATGTTCCCCTTTCTTCTCTCGCTCACAAGAAAATTCAAATCGGTCCAACAATCATTGATTTAATGCTGACTACGTGCCCAGCTGTCCTCCTGAAGCTTACACTCTCCCGAGGAAACAGCATATCCACAGACAAGCAAACCCAAAGCATGCACGGAATTTCAAGTAATTTCCGACAGGTGTTGACAGCGGGGGTGACTCTTGTGCTGTGCCCACCTTCCTGTTCTTCTCCTTCCTGCCTGGGTCTGGGGGCTGGGGATGAAGGGTATCCTTTGGGGCCATGCTCCCCGCCGTTTTCTACAGATGGATAGAAACCATGCATGAGCTGCTGTGGAAGCCAGGGAGGTGGGGGCAGGGGCTCCTTCCTGGGGTAAGACAGCCTGCTCTGCCATGGGGAGGCCTGCTGGACTGGCCTCTGGACCACTTGACCATTGAAAGGGAAAGTCTTGGTTTCTCTCCCCAATAATGATTTCCTGCTTCCTGTCTTAACTTTTCGTGGTCCATGGGGGGATCTTGGGGAAAGCTCTATAAACAGAGGCAGGG